ACGTGACTTTTGTTAACTTGTAAAAGTCTTTTTTCCTTGAACAACGTTAATGGGATCGACTGTATCTAAGATTACATGCATAATGTTTATAGGCTGAAAGATGCCTAAAATAGTCTTCAAGATACTTGAGCAATTTAAAAAATATGATATGACAGCTGCTATTGTGCTAAAAGAAAGAGTTGCTATTTACTATAYCCATGGTTGACTAATCTGATGTTTTAATAATTATAACAAATACAATAATTGTTAATTGAAATGTGGCATTAGAGCCTAATTTGGGCAAAAATGATTACAAAACKTACATTAAAAATATTGTATGTAATCAATAGATAAAAAAGTTTTCAAAAATATTTGTCTCAATGTGTAGTATCAGTTAAATGAAATGCAGAAAAACTACTTGCAGTACTTTCTTAGATGACCATTAATCCGGTTGATGCATAGCTGCCATTCTTTCTTTCTGTCAACATCAGTTGGGTACAGCTGGAAGACTTTTTGTTCTATGTATCTTAATGCTTCACCATTGAGACATCTTTTTCCCYTCCCTCCATTGACCRAACAGTTGCGTAGGTCTTCTTTGTTGGGATACATCAACTTGAGCAATTGTACGGCAAAATTGTATTTGTTGTCAGGAAACTTCTGGTTAAGGTTCTGAAYGACGTCRTCGTTTGGAAAATGAGATGGGGGCTGGTGAGGCAGACTTGCAAGATTTAAAAGAGGCACCTGGAATGGGTTGGCTAGTGGGGGTATACCAAATAATKYTGGGTTGAAAGGAAACTCCAAGAATTGCTGTTGATCAGCTTGCAGTTGTGGTTSCTGTTGTATTGCTAGCTCTTGTTCTTGCTCCRGTCGCTGCAGCTGAACTTCGGCTACTATCTCTTGTTGTGGCTGTTGTTGTGGCTGCYGTTGTTGCCGTTGTTGTGGCTGTTGTTGTTGTGCCTCTTGTTGTTGTGGCTCTTGTTGAAGATGCTGTTGTTGTTGCTCTTGCTGTGGCTGCTGTTGTTGTTGCTCGGCCACTTTTACTGCAAGCATTTGCAAAATGTTTGCACATTCTCTTTGAGCTAACAAAATTTGGTCTACTTTATTCTCTAGATCAGATAGGCGTTTTTTTATTTCTCTCATTGTKGGGGTCTGCAAAAATGACGAAAAATCAGGTAGGGCGTACGGAGAAGCACCCGGAGTTTCGAATACTGGCACCTCTATGTCTCCG